ATAAACAACATAACAGTGGCCCATGCTTAAATCCCACCAGTGCTCTCCATCTTTGCATAGAGATGCACCTGAGCCTATACTTCTTGAGGCCGAAGCTCATAAAAGGTGGCAATTTATCACAAACCCCTGAATCCCCTGCTCTGCAGCGTGAGGAATATACATTGCCTAATTAACATAAACGACAGCAAATGCCCCTCATCCTCAGTGTGAAGGCTGGCAGTGCTGTAGCCCAGCGTGCACAGAGGTACCCTGTGCTGCCGGCATCACCCTGGGGTGGCATCCAGCTTAGTTGGTGGCACCTCAAAGCTCTGCCTGTAGTCTGTCCTGGGGTGAGGGGAGTGGGGAGCTGGGCTGCTCCCTCACCCCCAGCTCCGTGTAAATCCCAGAGATATAATGCCCTATAAGGTGGGATATAATCCCAGCGGGTTGATGCGGTCCCACACCGCCCCATGCCAGGGCGATGCTCCAGAGCATCCCTCCCAGGAGGCAGCCCGGGGGAGCCTGCCACCCCCGGGGCACAGTCCTGCTCTCCCAACACCCACGGGCTGGATTGGGAGGGGATGGATCCCTCGTGGCTGGGGATGTACATGGAGAGCCCTCCCCGGGGCCGCGGCAGTGGCGGGAGAGGGAGGGGAGCGGGGAGAGACCTCCCCGGGCAGCGGTGGGAGCTGGATCTGGCCCAAGCACGAGGGCGCATCGTCTCCAAGATACAGTGGCTTGGGGTAGCTTTTCCTAAACAAAGAGCATTATAAAGGAGCCACTGCTGGAAATTTCCATTCCTTTGTTGGGTAGATGCTGTGTAAATAAATGCATTCCTAAGATTTTTCATAATCCTGGAAAGGTCCATAAAAGAAACTGTACAGTTTGTCAAATCGCTGGAGTTCATATATATTATTCCTCAGCCGCTGGGAACATGATATATAATGGCACAGAATATAATGCAAGAAACATATGCTAAAGATCTTCTTAGAAGCACTCTGTGCGTTCGTGGCATGTACAGATATTCCTTCTGTTTTGCCCCATGGGATCTAAAACATTCAATCCATATTACAGCTTGGGTTTGTGAATTACTTACCTTAACTCTAAATAATCCTTACCTGACAGGTGACTTCAGCAACAGCATTTAGCTACTCTCTGGTTTAATGTGTGGGTGATTTGAAACCATTTATAAATTAGTACATGAGATGAATGTGTAAACAATGTCTTACTTCACTCTCCCACTTTTCTTTCTGTCTGAATTTTATTTAAAAAACAGATGATCTGGGAAGATCTTGTTATGATAATGATACCGTGCCTGATGTATTTACCTGATTAGCTGTATTTGTAGCTTTATTACTTGTATTTGCCTGATTAGCTCAAAACCACATTGTCAGAGTCTTACTTTCTTGTCATATATATAAGCACTAACTACATGTAGAAGAGATTATATTCCTGTATCCAGTGTACTGGTAATGTAAATACAGGAGTTATTTGCATGGTAAAGATTATTGAACCTTCATTGACAGAAGTCAGACCTTTTTCTTGAAATAAGCCAGTAACTTCTCCCACTAACTCTTGGACTCGGTTAATCTGGGTTTATAAGATCACTTCCCTGTTTAATGTGTTCCAAATACTTCAGAAATTTAGAAGAGAAACTGTCCTTTAGGCCACCAGAGTAATGTTTATTACCCTTGTTTTTAATTTTTGAACACACTCTGATATTTATCTTATATTTAGACTTTCCCAACAGCTACGCTTGCTTTCTTTAGGATGATTTTTTTAATTTTGAAACTCATATCCCCCAGTAATGCAATTCTACTGGAAAAATATTGTAATGATACAGAATATTACTGTCCTTTTTAAGCACTTTTTATTTTTAGATCTCAAAGTTCTAGACAAAAGAGAGCACTTAATAAATAGTTGTATAAAATACAAAATGTACTTTTTCAACATTTGTCTTCTAATTGTCCAAAACATGACGTTACCATTTATTTCCTAGATGTGCTATTTTTCAATCAGATTAGAAATGTAAAAAAAAACCAAACAAGCCCACAACCAAAACAATCTAGAAGCCAAATCAAAACAACCCTCAAACAGGACTATCTCCGTAAGGTAAGCCCAAATACTTTTGGGTAGCTGGTTAGCTCTCTAATTTCCTTCTGTTTGGACACAGCATCTGTAATTCTGCAGTGCCCATCCAAGATCCTAATTTTTCCTGACCTCAGTACTTACATTCGGGGCTACTATGTCAAAGCATTTCAGCCTCCCGGATGAAGTAGCCTGGTTCAGCCTTCTCTCAGAGAAAGACTATTACAGCAATTGTAGCTCTCACACTGGAATAGATTATAAAAGCTTATTACTCTATTTTAAGATAAAAATATTGCTGACTAAAGGCATCAAACTTTAAACCCAATTAATAACAAACTACGATCCCAGAGACTGCAGACCGGTAACTTATCTACCACACAAACAGCTGCACAAATTCCTCACATTTATTTTTTCCAGGCTTTCAACTTTGATTAATAACATGGCGAAACCATGCAAGTCTCAACCATATTAACCACAGCTATATTTTTAGTCTTACTGACATGAACACTTTAATATAATAAAAGGAAAAGGAAAACAGAAGAGGTGTTTCATTAGGACACGAGGATTACTAAAACCGCTGTGTGGAGTATTTGTCAGGAGGTGGTAGGGGAAGAATTATTACTTACATTTTAGCATGTCACTAGGACGCGGAGCAAGAGGCTCCCTCAGTGTGATATGTTTGCTTTGGAAAAAAAAAAATTAAGCAGCAAGACTGTCCAAGCTCTTCTTTCTGCTGCATTTTTAATACCGAATCGCAAACTCGGTTCAGAAGTTTGCAGCACTACAGGGAAAGCTATTTTTTCCAATTTTGTTATGAAGCCTGGCAATACAGCAGTGATACAAGATCCAGAAGTTCACATATTAATCTGCCAGTCCTTTTTTATTGATAGACAGCTACATGCAAAAATATACGAAGCATGCAACCTGGCTGCTTAAAAAAATAGCTCAAACCACAAAACCTCAGCAAATCTGTTCTTGCAGCTGATTATAGAAGCTTAGAACCTATTTTAAAAGCATTTATTGAAAGAAAATAAATTCCCCCAAACCCAAACAAAATCCCCCTGAATGGCTGATACAAGCAAGAAACCAGCATTATGTCAGGTTTCAAGTACAGCTTGAAAACAAATCCAAATACAAATGCTCGCCTAATACAGAATTCTTCAATATGAAACATGTTTGGCTTCATGATTGTGTGGTACTGGGACTAGAGTTAAATTCAGTCTAGCCTCCTCATCGCTCGTTCATGCGACAGGGGTATTCCTTAGATGAGTTTCTGACACTAAATTCAGCTGAATGAATAGTATGATACACATCGTAAACATAAACAGTATTTGTCAGAGTCTGTCGTTGGACTTTTTTTTCTGTCTGCATCTACCTGCCTACACATTTGCACCAGCAGAATATTTATAACGACGCCTTTTGTAAGAGAGCCAAGCTTTGTAAATTGGAATAACGGGCAAAACCAGCCATACATTCTCTATTTCTAAATTGTTTGCATGAAGAGAGCTACGTTTCAGAACTGAGGGAACAGAACAAAGAGATAGAGGCACACAGCATCCTGACAGTGACCCTGAAATAACCACTCAGGACAGCACCCAAATATCCTAGTTATGGACCCAGGTAGCGGAGAGGGGATGCGGTAGCCTAGCAAAGAGAAGGGCAGAGCGACAGCAAACACCTTATCACACTTTCACATCATTATTTCTGCTGTGACCTTTTTAGCATTTCTAAGGCACAACATCTGCAGCATCAGAAATGCGGGGGGCACGGGGAAGGCACCCACCCCGATCTATATCTACCCACCAGAAAGGGAAGAAGAAAGGTACAGAAAACCTTTACGCGGCACCGGAGAAAGCCAGACCCTATGCACAGCCTTGGAAATGAACTTCACTATTGCAGGGATCTGTCTCCCACTCCAGCACCACACAAGCACACCCGAACCGGTGTGCTCTGACACGGGGACTTTGCTGTTGAACTAGCCCGGGCTTGGCTGCAACCAAGATAAACATATTTTGCTGCAACTTTTTTTTTTTTTTTTTTTTTTCCCTTCCCTTTCAAAAAGAGGCAAACTGGATTATAGCAAATAACCTTTAAGATAATTAACTGACAATGCCGCAACTAGCATAAAATCTTCCTTCAGGCGACCCCTAATTTAAGTATTACTGGCACAAAGTGGAGACAGATTGTGCATCACCACCGCAATATTTACATAGCAGAAACCCACAGAGCAGGAAACGTGAGACTCAATGATGCACTAAATTAGGAACAATCATATTCGAGCGTTAATTTGCTTTCTCCTCTATCCAAATTTCAGGTCCAGCAATTGGTACAAATGCACATAAAACATTCCCATTTTTAATGATTAAGAACCACAATCTGCAAAGCGGTTCTGCTCAAAAGTAAATGCGCTCACTACCAGGGACGTTTGCAGCCTCAAATCCCCAAAAGTGAAACGGCTTTACCAACACAGAGATTTTTTTTTAGAAAACCAAGACTTCCTAGTCTGTTTATTTCTTTCCATAAACGATGCCTGCACAAGCAGCCCGGGTCATCTGCCAGGCTACCTGCCTTCCCGTGGCAAATATTCTCCTGTGGCAGCAGCGCCGTGACTCTGCGGCATAATGGAGAAGCAGTTTTAATTCACCGAGGCTGTAGATATATGCAGGTGCTCCAAAGGCTGTGTACTCAAAGCATTCTAGTTAAAAGAGGGAGGGGAGAAAAAGATAGCTGATCCATCTGTAAATATATCGGGGAGTGATACATTTATAATAAATATGCACTCTACAGTCTACCCAGAGATAGCTTTCACGAGCACTACTCTCAGTTACAGCACACTCCATAAGATAAATGCAAAAAAGCCACCACCGACCTTTCTAAATATTAAATATTATTCAAATTTGGTTTTCGCTACAGCATATTAACAAAATATTTACCTTGCCTAATCGCTGATGTTCTTCAAAAGCAGAAATCAGTTCTTGTGCCCACTTTATTTTTTCAGGGCTCGGAGAGAACTGTTCCTGGACAACAGCAATTTGGTTGGGGTGAATCACCTGCTTACCTACAAAGAAGATTAATAACACCAGAATCATGCATCGACAAACAGATGTTCAAGCAAAATGTTCCAACCACTTGAGGCTCTCATATGCCTCACAGACTTTCTTGTTCTTTAACTAATTATTTCACTTGGTTTCTTTTATTTTTTAAACCGGACAGCAGGCAGACAGCCTTTTACCAGATTTTTTTTTTTTAAGAATAAAAATATTTTGAGCTATGCTTGCATTCAGTATCATTTGACAGAACCCACGACTCTTTCTCCTCCCTCCCCATTTCAATCCATACATCTTCTCTCCGTCCTTTCAGGTGCAATTGTTTGTCTGGGGCAGTCAATAGCACTTAAGTATAATACACTGCTGAATTTAACTATACAAATAATAGCTCCGGCCACATATAAACAAGTTATATTGAAATGTGCTCAGAAAACGAGATCTGAAGATGGTGGCAAGAGATTTGCAGGACTGAAAAGTTACCAGTCACTTAAGGATCATGCCCTAAATTGTTGGTATTGGCTTAGCATCAGAAAATCCCTAATGTTTTTTAAACTGTTGTTGTTGCAATAGTTAGCAGTTGCAGGCAGGTTGCAATATTTATTTAGTCACCGGTGTATTAAACAACTACCAGACGTGCCCTGAAGTTTTATGAAGCACTTTTTTTTTTTTTTTTAATCCTTTCTTGTATACATACACGTTAAGAAAATAAAAATAGACGTTGCCTTTTTTTTTAACTAGAGATTTTCAAACCTGAATAGACAGCCACATAATCCCTTTTAATCTGTCACTGCATTTAGCTCCCTTAAAACAAATACATATCTAATTTGTTTGACAGTTTTAAAAGTGTAACGTTTGACATTATTAGTTCATTTCTAATGGGAATTTCACAGCCCGGTGCGATGCCTGCACTTGGGTTTGGAAGCGCCGCAATAAAGAGAGGGGGCTACAGGAATTCCCAGTTTCCTGCGGAATAAACGACTTCTCCTCTCACAAAACTCCTTGGAGGGATGAGCCCGATCCTGCAAACCTGCCACCAAGTGAGCAGTCTCCTGCGCACAGAGGGTCCCCTCCTGTCCATCCCACCCCACCCCATCCCCCTGCAGATGCTGATGCTGCAGCCTCTCGCCGGATTTTTCCAGGCAAGGAAAAGTTTGAAGGGTCAGGATCTAAGGAGGTTTCTGCTCCCTTGTCCTTGTCCTTGCTGACTTTGAGCCAGCCACACGTCAGGAATCAGCCCCTCACTCGGTGTAAGGGGTCTCAGGCGTGACCGCAGAGATACACCTATTTTAAATGAAATTCCCACTGCAAACATCCCCTTTCCCCCCTCCCGCCCCTGGATTATTTTTCTGAGGCTGCACTGGGTCTGAGTGATAACCTGGAGTGCAAACAAAATCTGGGGATGCAGCAGCACAATCTATTTCATTTAACCAACAAACAAATAGTAATTTTTCAGTGTTGCTACGTTTCTTCGCTAAAAAGCAATAAACAGCTCAATATTATTTTATTTCCTATCAAACAACCCTTAGTTTATGATTTTACGGGCACCCAAATATCCAGTTTGGAATCTCAACACAGTAGCTATTTAAAAAATAGCTTAAAAATTATAAAAAGTTTAAAACCCAGTAAGAACTATATTTTTTGAAAGAAAGTACACGGAGACAAATTTCCTTAACTAATGTGTTTTACATGAGGACTAATCAAAGGCTTTTTAGTCAATTTAATCAAATGTTACCATTAATAAAATTATGATCTCCCTGATTTATAATATAACAAATTCTCCCAGTGAAACTACTAATTCAAAAATCGAAGATTGTACAAATAATTCCTGCAAAATCCTAAGGTGCTTAACTTTCCAGGGAAAATGAAGAATATATTTTAAATTATATTTAAAGTCAGTCTGTAATTATAACAAAAATAAAAATACATATATATGATTTTTTAAAGTATAAAACTATTCTGAAAAATAATTTGGTTTTGATAAAGATATCTGTAGCAGTAAACTATACCTTTTATCATTAACGCTGCCAAACAATTTACAGATTACAGAATCCCACTTTTGTTGTATAGCACTCAGTTGATTTTTGTTACAGATTATGTATCCAAATAACTGTATAATAGACGTAATGCCATGCAGGAATGAAGCAAATATTTTAAACGGAATTGTTGTTATTGACAAGTTACTGAGAGAGTGCAAAATTGGAAGACATTAAAATTTATGACCATGAAATCCTTTTTACAGTACCACTTGATATATCGTGCTTTAAATCAATACCTGTCAAGTCTTTTAGGTAACTGTATGATGGTGTCATTTTAGTCTTCTACAAAAGACTGCAAAAAGAGAGGAAACCTATAGTGGTTCGTATTTATGTCTGCCTTCTCAGCATGTAGCACAGGACTTTCTATAATGACTAAGTCAGCTGTTAAAGCTTATGGCAAGGTTTACTTAATTTTTTACATAAACATTCCTAAAACTGATGACCATTTATATAGGCAACACACTGACTTTAAGCCCACGGATTCTGGTATCATAAAACGTCTTGCTGGCTGTGTATGCGTGGGTGTGTGAGTATATGCATATATATATACTGCCCCTCCCTATAAAAAAAAAATAAGATAAAATAAAAATTAAATATACATATCAAGAATCTATTAATTTGGCTGAATTACATTTGAAAACACAGTAAACACCATCACTGAAAAAAAAACAGGCTGCTTATAAGATAATTGGAAAAGAAAACTTGGCTACAATAAGAAATGAGGATCACAATGGTAACTAAATAGCTGGTAAATTATTCGTTATATTTTTTTTCTCGTTTAATCTTGAGTGAACATAATTGATTATATTAAGGCCAGTTCTACCAGCCTAAATCTGAATACAGGAAAATCGAAGGATTTGCTGAATATTCTGGATTTGCATTAGCTTTGAGGGTGGTGAATTTGGCCCTATGCATGCAAATACGTGTGCACTTCGCCAGCTAAGAGAGCAATTTGGAAGTCTCAGCTCATTTTAGTCCTGTTGATTTCAATGATTTTGATTCTTTGTGAAAAAGTAGCAGGAAGGGATCTTAAATATTTAAAAATAACAAGAATGGCATGTTTTGAATTTGTTATTAAGGGGACATTTCAGTATCTTAATCTAACGTTATCAGAGCAGTGGCAAACCCGATCTGCAGACTTCTGCTTTATACGAGGCCATGGATTCAGCTAAGACTCGTTTGTAATTTTCTGTGATGAATATTAAGTTGGTAACGTTAAAATGTTTCAATACTATAGTTTTGGAACAAAATATTCTTGCTTTTCATTTTGAAATGACATCTTATTTTAGTCAAAACAAACAAGAAAGTTTATAAAAAACACTAAATAAACTTAAAGCAAAAGAAACAAAAGAAAAAGTGAAACATACAAAACAAACAAGAAAGTTTATAAAAGCATTTAATAAACTTAGAGCAAAAGAAACAAAAGAAAAAGTGAAACATTTTGAATCGACATGAAATATTTTTTTGCTTTTTTACCGAAAATATGAAAAACGCTGTTTTGACTTAAACAGATTTTTTATTTTTCATTTTTTTGCTACCAGATCAGAAAAGTCAGTATTGCTCTGTCTTTAATTATGGTTGGACTGGTCATCAGGCTGTTTTGCTGCATTTTGGAAATATGTTGGTGATAGTTGCAGAAAGGCAGGAGGCAAAGTGCTGGAGCTGTGAGTTCACCTTAATTAAGTCTGTACCTTTTACAGATCTTTACTCCTCACATGGAAAGGCAAGACACCTCTATCGCCGAATTAGAAATTCACTTTATGCCTTAAATTGCCACATGTGACCTTTTAATTCGTCTCCTATCTGGACTCTATCCTGATGTCAGACAACTTCCCCCATAAAGTCAGTGGAGTCCCAATCACCATTAACATTGTTTATGCTGAGCATTTTTAAATTTCCTAAATTGGCAGCCCAAGTTAAGTATTTAAACATACATTAAGCATTCAAAAAGAGTGCTCTCAAAGGTGCCAAGCATCTGCAACTCCATCTTCTGTCAACAGGAGGTTCAGATGCTTCAATTTTTTTTCCAAAAATCAAGCCTTTCCTTAAGCTAGGAAATATTGGTGGAGATTAGGTAGCCATCAGCAGGTGCCACCATTCAGGAGCCCTACTATTTTCCCAACTTCAAACGCAGGCGAATGAAGGGTGGAAGTCCACACGGACGTCGATAACGTAGCTGTGAGGAGCTCACCATTTTGCCTCCAAAACAAGATTTGCTTTTGCAAATGTGGAAACTCAGCAGACAGGAAGGCAGAGTTTGCGCTGAAGAGCATCGATCCCTATTCTTTTACCGGCACGTCAAGATCGCTTAAAATAATGCTTGGTTCATTAGGTTATTTCTCTTGGTGCTTTAAGATATCATATACCCTTAACTATAAAAATACAGTTTGCTAGATGGCATCACCAGTACCCACGCCTTTGTTAACAAAAACCTAAGAGATGTACTATTACTGTATGTATATCCTGAATGATGGCCAGAGACGGAGAATGGAAAACGTTTGTCCCGTATGCTAGAATTCTCTAATACACGTGTCAAATGGCTGATTTCTATTGCAAAACCCCAATCTTTGGTGGCTGCACTGTTCCACCAGGGTGTCCGAGTGATCTGGTACACCAATCCCAGGGTAACAGGCTGCCTTACGGGACGCTGGGGCAAGGAGCCTGCTGCTCTTGCTGTCTGCCAATACCCGTAGGTGTCACCAGCACTTACTGGGAGGGGAGCCAGGGGATGAAAAACAAATCAAAGAAAATAATAAGAAAAGAACTTTCCCCTAGCAATTAGCATAGGAGATTTGCTTCTCAACTCCTTCATCTAAAAAGTATTTTTTAACAAGTGTCGTTAAAAAAAAAAAAAAAGGAGAAAGGGATCTGAATATTTTAAAAAGCAATTGTAGAGTGGCTGTCGCGGAGTACAGTATCGCCTCTCCCGTGCTCTGTGATGGGAGAAATCACTGCACAGCCTCTACCCCAACTCCTCTTCAAAAACAGTCACACGCTTCATGGGACGTGATTTTAAAAAGCAGCCTGTGACTTTTGCGGCAAAATCTCCAGCCCCAATTTTAAAGGTGCTAATAAACATAGAAGAGCTTGGTATATTACTGAGCTTTTCAATAAACGACCTGAAATAAAGCTCAAGTTATTTGTCTAACTGGCAGAGGGTGTAGCAATATATTTAAATTGAAGAAGCTATGCGTTATTTTGAGACACAGGCAGAAAGCCATACCAGTGAATCCCATTGAGGCACCTTCTCTCGATTGCTTGCGGAGCCCATCTTCATCTCGGAAATCGATGTAAACAAGGTCTATGGCTTGAAGGCCAAATGCCTTTGCTGTGACTATTATTTTTTGCCTGGCATATTGAATATCATGAGTTTCCTTACTGCTTGTTGCACCTATGAAGACAATGAAAACAAAGAAAAGCTGTCAAGAGTGTTTTAAACCTTTCTACTTTAAATATTTCCTATGTAAAAAAAAAACAATGGAAAATTTGAGATTTCTTTTAATGAATTTAGAAAACAAAAGAGGGGTGCAAGGTTATATTGCCAAAATAATACTCTGATGAGGAAATAAAAAAAGCTGCTTTGGCAATAAATAAATAAATCTCTCTTTAAACACTACCTTTAAAAATTCAGATTTTTATTCAGTTCAAATCAGAAGTTGTAAGCCTGAAGTCAGTGGAAGTTTTAGCTGGCAGTGACTGTGGAGTTAGGACTAACATGAAGTAATTATTTGATTATATTATTTACTGTACGTACAGTGAGAAGCATCACAACAAGAGAAGCTTTATACAAATTAATATACTGGGTACAACTAAATGGTTAAAAAATTCACCCTGAGAACAGAATTGCACTTTCCTTGGTAGTGATTCTTGTCACAACTGATGTCCTAAGCTGAATATTTAAGCTTGAGTATTCGGATGAAAAATGATGGTAGATGGCTTCTGAGAAGAAGTAAAAGTATCCACGAGACTTCATGTGCTCACAGGGCACCAGCTAAGCAACGTGAAGGCTGATGTGAAAAAAAAATAAAATAAAATGTTCCCTGTCCTTAGGGTCACTATTTAGATACAGATTTCCAGTTTGTGGGGAATATTTTAGTAAAGCAATGCTAATTTTTACATTAACGTACTAATTTTTAATTTAAATGTTGATAGCTCTGCATTACTGTCTTTAAACTGAATCAAATCACTAAGAAGCTAAGTGGCCTCTCATAAAAGATACTTTGAAATACTTTTAATTTTTGAGGAAGACTAATAGTGCTTTTGCGTGAATGCATCGCTGTATTGATGGGGGACATATTTAAAGTAAATTTATGAAAACAAAATGTAACGGGAGAGTATTTGTGCATGATCTCAAAAGCCTGACTGATAATTGTCTGCAAAACTGTGACGCAGCAGACACCAGAATATTAGGACTTTAAATGTAATTCTTAGAAGCATGTGCATGTCTCTTACGGATATCATATTTTTAAATAATTTCAGTGATTCAACAGGTTTTGGTTTTGGTGTTGATTTTTTTTTTCCCCTAATTTTTGGTACTGCATAGCAAGAAGCAAAAGCAAGTGTCAGTGCTCTATAACACACAGGAACCACGTTTTAATGTCTCAGTGACGCATTCCACATTGAGAAAAATTAAGGAGAAAAGTGCAAATGTAAAACGCAGAATCAAGCGCTGTGATTACTTTAATTATTGCGGTTGAAAAAGCAATGGCCATCAATGACATCACGTTTTCTCCAATGCAAATGCCATACGTTAACATTTATAGTAAAGACACAGGTAACAACCTATGCTGGCACGGAAATCCTCTCCTCCAAAGACGACTGCGTCCAAATGAAAGCCAACCTGGGATCCTCTTCTCAGTGCTTCTTCACAGACGGCCTTCAAAGGAGAACAGGGTATTAATTTCTACAGAAATGCAGGACGCAGAGAGACTACAGAGGCTATTACAGCAACCCAGTGTTACCAAAATCCTTCAGCAAAATTGCTCCTATTAAGCAAAGCCTATTGCAGATGCTCGACTCTGCACACAGTGCTTTAAAATGACTCAGCAGAAGAGAAAACATTATCTTTCCCTAAGCACCTATATGCCTCGACTGTGTAAATGCAGGACATCGTAGCAGATTCCCTGCCTTCTGGTTGACATAATGGCCTGGGTATTACTGTGATCACTATGTCAGATACTTATGTAACAATATTTAAAAAAAAAAAAAAAAGTCAAATACTGCTCAAAAGCAAACAAAAAATATTAAATTTGATTAGTTTGACTTGTAATATATCTGCAAAAGAAACAGAAACAAAGATCAGAATCTTTTTCATTAAATAAGTGCTGTGAATGCTTTAAAATGGCTGTAGATGCCTTACAGGACATAAGGATTCCTTACAGGATTGCCAATTTAAAGTCTTCTGCTGCATATAACTAAAAACTAGCTAAGGAAGTTAAAAAAGCAACAAGTGCTGCAGAAAAGTATTAAAATAAAAGCAAAAAATATTTTTGCTGCTGTAGCTATTCTAGGAAGAAGTGTATTTCCAAAGTACTACTATTTTGTACCAATGTTTGCATAATATTAATAATTTTTAAGGCTAAGGTACGTGGAGAGAGAGAGATGTAATTACCAGCTCTATGATTGGGTGTTCTTCTATGGCTGGTGGTGGGACAAGAAATTATTCTTTAACAGAGTGCTTTAAAAGGCAATTCTCCCACCAACATCAGGAACTGAGATATTAAAAATTCCACTATAAAATACTGTAGGGTGAAGAAAAACCTACAGCCAGTTTAAAATAGGATTTAATTCTGTGTATGCACACACCGGACAGGAGCGTGTCTGTTTGGTCACTGCTTTATTCTGTCCCCAGATAGGTTAGCACGTGTGGTAAGATAAATGGCTGTATCAAACGAGCAGGCTGCCCGTGAGGCCTGCCCGTGCTTCTGGAGGTACTTCTGATCTGCCTGTGTCCTCAGCTGGTCCGAAACTTCTCCCTTAGAGCTTGGGAGGGGAAGGCTGAATTCCTGGTGCATGCACGAGAGCTTGCGTTTCATTACCACCCTGCCCTGCCTTTCTGACAAACCTGGACTCCACAGTAAAGGTTGGGGAGCAATTCATGTTAAAATGCACTGTAAAAATCAGAATTGATCTAAAACTACCCTAAAAAAGGAGCATGTTCTTCAGATATTTGCTATTTGCAGTTAATTCTAATCTTGGCATTAAACACCCTATCACACACGCAGCAAAATGATAATGTGAAATTTGGTTATAATGTTATCAGTAGAAATCATTATAAAGATGCCAGTTTAACCATACTGAAATGATGATTAATTCTCTGTTCTAATAAATATTATACAAAAGTCGAGTTTGATGGCTTCTAAATAGCCAAGTGCAACACTATGAGTATTTCGAATCTTTGGAGAAGCCCGTTTCCACTCCAAGTGTGTTAAAAATGATAACAGTAATGCAGAGAGGTTTTGTTATTTGGCATGGACTGTCTGGAACTGTTCTGTCACTGAAACGTTTTGAATTTATGAAGGCCTTGACAATACAAGCACGAGAGTTAAACGTACAAATGTTTTAGGGGATTCAACAATACGTTTAGTATTTTTTAACCTTTCTTCCTCGATGAAATTAGAGGGAAACTGGGGAGTATTCTGCTCACCCTAGTTTGCTGAGATGGCAAAATATGAACACTTCAAGACCTGCTTACCTTAAAATTGAGCAAGCCCACTGCAGTTTCCACAAAGGGGATAAAATTCATTGGTTCTACAAGTGTTCGGCCTTTTAGATGATGTAAGAATTTGTCTGAAAACTAAAACTAGACAGTATGAGCTATCAGAGAGAGAAAAAAAAGAACAGTCTACACGTATATATATATAACACATTAAATTTTCACCTGCCCCTCCCCACCCCAAAAGCATAGTTAAAAAAATTAAACCAGCTTTTATTAAGGCCTGCGATTGGAAACCGCAGCATTCCCATACATTTCTAAGTTTGGAGGCTGGTTTGCAGAAAAAAAAAAAAATTAAAAAAAAAAAATCCAGGCTTAGCACCTCTCACCCTGGCTTAGTGAAATGCAAATCCGCCGGCCCTGGAAAACAATGAAGTGCTGCTGTACCTGAGGTCCGGTTTTGTTTCAGGTCCAGCACTGCCATCACTGGAAGTGCTCCCCAGCCTTCTAAGTGGCATCCGTATTATTCATTACGGCACCGTTACCCTTTTGTTCAATAGGCTTTTCTTCATAATTTTTTAGCTTACCTAGGAAGGCCTTAAAAAGGAAGTTTAATTCTTTGAAGACCAAAGCTTGCCAATTTTTTCCATGAGACCAGTTCACAGCTAGCTCTGAGCTGCCAGTGGGGTAGCCCAAATTCCAAAATCTATCATCTGGAAACATACAAAAGCTCTTGCACAGATTTTTCCCCTTTCAAAAGGGAAAAAAAAAAAAAAAAAAAAAAAGGGGGAAAAAACCCTCAGCCCTATATTGTAAATCTATTATGTCTGTCCAGATCGAGTAATTTACGCAGGGATAAACATATTGCAGGTATGGTGAAAATATGTTAGTAAATAAAGACAAAAATAACATATGCATATATTTTAAATTTAAGGAATATTCGACTATTAATGGATATCAAAGGAAAGGGAATTTTAATCATCTCTCCATTCAGTCTCAGTTGGGTAAATCATATCTAAGAGATTTGCATAAATATAAACCATCAAAGACTTTTCATCTTCAAAGGGGGTTTCAAGACCCTATAAGCTTTGTACTGTAATCATCGCAGGTCACAACCCTGCAGGAATAAGGCTGCTATGGCAACATAAAAAACTAATGCTTAAGGCTTAGCATAATATTCTGACTAATAGAAAGGAAACTCATTTTAAAAGCTGGCAGCCTATTTACCAGAAGCTGGATTAGAGGTGTTATTTCCCCTTTTAGCTTCCCCCCACCGCCCCTCCCCAAAAGAAGGAAAATCTAATCACCCAGATCTTGAAAAAAAGCTTTCCAGCAATTTGCAGTAACTTTACAATTAGGCCAAAATAAATCACAGCTTTCTTCGATGAGGAATTCTGCCCTCCCCAACCCTGCTTTGCATCGTCACCGTGTCCCTCTCTCCAACTTTTCTTTGGAGAAGAGAATTCCACCCAAAAATGTGCGAGGAGAAAAAAAAAAAGAAAATCAATGCAATTCACATGTGCAACTGTACAGTATGGCAGGTACTACAGTGACAGAAAATAGTAAACTTCATCCAGGCAAATGCAGAAAATGAGGTAATACAATGGCATCAGCATATATTCGTAAGACTCCTATCTGATTTTCATTTTTTATGTGAAAAAAAAAAAGTAAAAAGTGCTGCTGTGTTTATATTTTAGGTGCAAGCTAAAGCCGTAGAGCTCTTCCTTTATTTTAAAATATTTTAAAAGTCACCTTCCTGGGATTTTTGCTCTCTTTTGTTTTGAAGGTAAACAAACAAACAAAAAAGCATGTTTAATTAAATATCGTTTTCCTTCCTCTCCCTCTTAAAAAATTCGCAATAAGCACCAATACAAAAGGTAACGTGTGGAGAAGTTTCAATTAAATTTTTTTTTTTTTTTTTTTTTTCAAAAGGAGACGATTAAATGTTTCCGGCCCCGGTAAAGTGTTCATTTCAGGGAGAAAAGGGGGAAAAAAAAAAAAAAAAAGAAGGCGGAGGGAAAAAGAAAAAAACCCACAAAGCTTGGGGAGGGGATGAAGTAGCAAGGCCTCAGCAATTCTTTCAATTCCAGTGCACACCCAATAGTGTGTCGGGAAGAATGCACACTGGTCGGGATTTGTGGGAGAATTGTCCCGCCACAAAGGAGGGAGAGTTACGCTTGTTATAGTCCAATAAGCCATGCCAGTCAAACAAGTACCCACACTAGGGACAAAAGGAAAGCAAGAGATTCTCACACAAAAGAAAACAAGTAAGCCCATCTTTTAGTTGTGCATCAGCCTCCAGGTTTTCTGCTGCACATAAATAAAAATGAAGGGGGGGTGGGTGGGGGGGAGAGCGCACAGGGGTATGTGTCGGGGGAAATAAACAGCTTCTGGGAGGCTGAAAAAAATCAGGCCGGAGTGAATTTGGGGAGGATTGGGAAAAGAAGGCAGCGGAGTTAAGCAGAGCGGGCTCTTTGTGTGCAAAGGTTGGGTGAAGGGAGAGGGAAGCAAAGGGTGGACCATGAGGCTGGAGTTGTTGGGGTTGGCTCGTTTTCCATGCTGGAAATCAAAGTTAGGGAGAGGGAAGATGGAAGGGGACTGAGGGGGACAAAGAGCCCCCCGCATCCCAACCTCCCCGCAAAACCGACTTGGTGGCAGCAAGGGCCCTGCCATTTTGGAAGCATGAATATTCATTACCGACAGGTTATGTCTAACACTTACACGGCTGTAAACCCTGAGAGGTATACTCCGGTTAATTTAATTAAACGCGGGTGGAAGGGGATGGTGTAGCGGGGGCTGAAGGGGCAGTGCCACGCAACGGGCCGGGGCTCGTCACGTACCCAACGTTATTTGCTCAGTCCTACGCTCACGCCTGATCTTCAGGGTTTGATCAAGGTTAGATGCTGAGATTAAAATGGATCCTAATACGTCTGCCTGCCTTTCATCACAGCTTGCACGCGTGCTAGTCGCTCGGCTAGCGGTTTGCGAAAAAAAAAATCTAGAAGTGAATAATTAAGCGTTATTCCTTTACTGGCGCGTTACAGCAATAATGGTGTATCTAAACAAGCGTCCCCCTTTCTTGACAATTAAAACAATTATAGCATAATTAGGCCCATTTCAAAGTTTTCTTAAGTAATTTGACATGCCAACCATTTACATTTCAGGTTTTTATTGGCTGAAAAGTCAGTCGTGAAACACAAACACACCTGTCAGCAATTAAAAAGGAAGAAATAGAGAACTGTTCAGGAAATAATATCTGTGCTAATTAAAAACACTAGTTAAAAGCTTCCTGTTTGTTCCTCCAGTTGCCCCAAGGAGTGACCTCCCCCCCAACCCATTTTTTCATATGTCGCTAACATGGTTTCCCCATCTCCTGCTTACAATGCACATAACTAAGGATCACGGACAGAGACAGTAATTTTGCTTGTTGGGACAGTCAGAGAAGAGTCAGATACTTATGCTTCTGTTTTTGATAATATACTCTGACATCAGTATGGGTTCTTCATTGACCATGGGAGAAATAAACCTGGTTTTCTTTATAAGTGCAAGGTGTTCCCCGAATGCTTTTTATACAGCACGTCTTACACATCTCTAAATGGATGCATTTCCCCATTACCTTAGCCAAACAACAACATTATGTGGTGTTTGCAGCCTTTCTCATAACTTAGAGTCTTCATCTCTGTGCCTGTGTGAATTTGGCCCAGCAGCTTCAGTCAAAATCTACTGTGTGGGTTGTTTTTTTTTTTTTTTTGGTACTCACCCATCTTATTTCTTCAACATTTTCAACCTTTGGCAGCATCATGCTTGAGGGAAGGGTCTTGGACTGCAAAAGCACCTCTAGATCTTCTTCTGCAAGGCCGCTGGACACGGAGTTTATCCTCACACACTTCTCGGCATGGCCAAAGTCAAACTCTTCAAGGGTTTTCACAACAGTCATTCTTGCTTCTCTCTACAATATACGTGCAGCGTGAGAAAAGAAAAAGAAAGTGTTTTTTCTGTTGACAGAAAAGTGTACTGAGCAGAAAACTTATTGAAATGACGTGAGGAAAAAGCTAGAAAGCCAGTATACTGGTGTCCCCAAAATGTCTGTCACTCTTGGACTTTTATTGAAGCAGTCATCACCAGCACCTCACAATTTTACCTTCCTCGTTTCTTTATAACTGGTAAATAAAATGCTCGGGTTTTATGTCTCACTATTTCTATACCACCACTTGTAGAAAACAGGACTTTTGTGTCCACTAGTGCTGAACATGCCTAACAAACACAAATCTTTATACAAACCACAGTGTGTTTCATTGCTGGTGGTCTGCACCCACAAAAATTGTTTTATTAAATCTGCATAAAAATTCATTTTTGTAATTAATCTCTATATTGCCTGGACGTCAGCAAGCACAGATGTACATATACTTCTTTGGTTTTGATATATGAAACTTCTTTTTCTCCACAAATCCAAAATGTATTAAAGCCCATAGTAGAGCTCTCAACTCGCATGTGAAAACAACGCCAAAAGAACTTGGAGATTTTTCTTCAACCACATAAAAAGCTATTCTCCTGCTGGCACAAAATAAAATCTCCAAAGACACGCGCTTCCCGTGGCCGTTTTCTATTTTTGTAAATGTAAATTTACAAATCTGTTTAATAGTTGATTTGCATAAAGAATATTTGCATGCTTTTCCGAAATGAAACGTGTTTCCTGGCCTGGAGAGGAAGGGTGGGGGGAAGGAAGGAGGGCGCTGGGCTCCCTGCTTCCTGCCAACTACAGTTTCAACCCCAAATTCCTTCCACTCTCCAACAGCCCCTAACAAATTCGCATTGTCAAAACGCACACTTATCAAAAGTCATTTCATTTGTGAAGAGTTTTTATGGGGCTAATAAAACTTTAAAGCTCCCGACTCGCGGAGGTTGGGGAACGACTTTAACAATACGCAGTCGCTGAATGGAGATGGTTTTCAAGAAAACAGGCAAGCTCAGGGGGGAAAAAAGAACTCATCAAAGTTAATATCCAGGTTAATACCAATCAGCGAGACAGCACATGACAGTAGATCTAAACCAGACGGATGCAGATCTCTGCCGGCGAGAGGGGCAGAGGCGGTTTCCCAATGTGGTCTGAGTTAAACAGCGTGAGGGAACAGTAGCTTACAGTTGTCAGGTCCCATCAGAACAGGGTCTCCCAGGCCAGTTTAAGACAGCTCCGCAGTGTACTGATTTACAGGGCTGGGACCCCTGATAATTAGGGTAAGTTTAGAGAAAAGCAAGCGATGGGCTCTAACCGGTTAAAAGGAAGGAATAATGAAGCAGAAAGTTAATGAAATCTGAAGCAAACAGCCTTCAGCTTGGGGCTACTAGCCGTGCTCCTCCAAAGGTTGGGAGCATATGCCCGTTAACCGGCCAGCCGGGACCAGGGCGCACACGTAGGCATCCCCGTGCCACGATCAAGGGGCACGTTCGGAGGTAATCTCTGGAAAATACCACCCCAAACGTTCGAACCACTGTGAATGGGCTCTGGCTGGGGCCATGAGGAGAGCCACACAAAGATGCATGCAGTTTGCTACAAGCACGTCCAGCTGGAAGGCAGCTCCGGCGCACAGCCCTCCGAAATGGTTCTGCCGAATTAGGGAAACCCAACCCTATGATGCCATTACCGGGTAATACAAACCCACTACGTTTTTCCTTCTCTGACCAGGGGTAATGGGTTTCTAGGGCTGGCCTCAAAAGTTTCTGGATACGATGCGGAAGGGGAGCTTAAAAAACACGCTCCAAACCAATTTATGCTTTTAATTAAAGTCAGATTATCACCGTTTCAGCACACACTGATCCAATTTGCAAAAGAAAGATCTCCCCAAATTATCCACTAAGGCAGCATCCAATTCCAACTGCAGGCACATCTCTAGCAAACTTACAGCCTAATTTGTTATGATTTTTTTTCAGATTATAATAATGAGCAGTAGACGGTCTCATTAGCTATTTTTCTCCTCAGGCTGCAAAACTCCCTTCCCAAAAAAGACAGATCGTGTGTCTTTCTAGGTATATTTCCATACAAAACACTTATTAACAGGCTGTTGCTGTTATCAATTTACATAAACTAAATGTGCAGCCCTCTGGTACGTATCCCAAAAATAACCAACAACTTCACTGAATTTATACCAACCAACAAACATGGGGAGGGGGTTGTTGTTTTTTCCCATATTTTAATAGAAAATATGTTGCTATGTTAGTTAACACACCCATGCCATCTGTTGGGTTGAGAACTGATGCATTTTCTTAGAACCACTACATTTTAGATCTGTCTGCCTGGATACCCCAGGAATGGAAACGTTTCCCTTCCACGATAAAATACTTCTAGTCACTATAGTTTCCACATCAGGATTCAAGTTCTGTTTTTAATTGTGGGACAAACTGAGAGGACCTGGCTGACAAAGTCAGAGCTCGTGAGGGAGCTGACTCGGTGCCTACCCCTCCTACCACAGAGAAAATCCCATTGATGTTAGTGGGGTGTATCAGGTCCCCACCCAGGCTTCCTATAAAAGATTTCATGGGTAAACAAAAAAATATGCTAAAACCTCTGACTAAATGTACTAAAAACATGGAAGAAAGGGAGAGCCCTTTCTGCCTGATTATGTAGGGAAACATAGATGCTATTCTTACTGTAGGGTCCATGCAAAAGCTGAAATTTTAAGCTAGGTAAACTACTTCAACATTGCACCAGTAGAGAAAAAACTAGCTCTTGATATAGTAATTTCTTTATAGTAGTAGATGCAAGAATAAGCATGTTTTCCAAATACTATGCAAAGTCCCTGCCAAGAATGCTCAAACTAGAATTTTTAAGGAACTGTGAAAGAAATTATTTATCCCGTTCTTCACACAAGAACTACAACATCAGATAATGCTCTGTCATGAGTGAACAGCTGATAAAGAAATAAACCTGATGGTTAAGTAAACGGTTCTATCCCCAGGTAGCTTGGGATGGTGGCATCCCCATTGGGTCCCACATGGGTTGTGTTCTTTATCAAACTGAACAAGAGAGAAAGACAACAGAGATCTTCATGGTAAACAGTGATATTACTAAAATACGCTGAATTTGCAACTTGTTCTGGAAAACCCACTGGGAAAAAACCACGTTGGTCAGGGTGGCTACTTTAGCATCCCTTCTGTTTGAGGAGGACACGGGAAGACGTTCATTACCATGCCAACTGGAGAAGATAAAGCTTTCAGTGACGCAGTACCCCTGACAAATCCACCGCCACCCAGACACACAGACACTGAAATTAAAGACAGGAATACGCATGTTGCCGGCTCGATTGGCACCCATTAAACCTAATAACTAACCATTCTCACGAGTTCCTAGCTCTGAATTATCAAATCTGCAAAGAAAACAACATCCGTCCACTTTTACACTCCAGTGGAAGAGGTGGTCCCTTGCGGCGGGGCCGCGCAGTCTCGCCATCTGGAGAATAAATCGAGTGTGAAGTACAGTATAGTTTGGGACCAAGCTCCGTGGCGGCAGCCCAGCAGTTAGTTCATTAGTCCCAAACTTGCGGGGATTAGTGTGGTATCAGCTCTACTGTCGGATGGGATCAGGCAGGCAGAGCGCGAGACTCGGGGAAGGGGGTGGCGGCGAAGAAGGAGCCCTTCAGGCTTGTTTATAAACCCACACAGCACAAGGGCACCTATATAGGTGCCTCTGGTAACAGTGCTATCGTAGCCTCCTGCCAGCTGAACCAGTACCATTCCTTCTTTTTTTTTTTTTCCCTTTTTTATTTTAAGTTATATGTCAAGGCATAGAAATTTCCGCTTCAAAACAGAAGGAATGCCACCGAGCTGGAAGCTCAGCCACCCACTCATCCCGGACACAGCCCTAATACAGCAATAATGAAGCAAAAATGGTCAGAATAACAGAATTTTGGGGACTGCAACAGCAGACAGAAAAAATGACATCTATTCTGCCTTTTCAAACTGGTACAATACCCCACAAATCAAGTTTCCAGCACTGTGATTTCTAGACCTGCCTGATTCTGGGGACAAAAATCTCTGTTTTGCTTTATCTTTTTTTGCCTAGTTTTATCCCCATTTTTTTTTTCCCTTCAAGACCCTTCAGGTCTTAATGTAAAGACAGTGGGTATACTGTCTTTAAAGATATGTTTATGTGTAGATCTCATCCTGTTAACATCTTTTGGTAATGACTCTTCATATGGAAATGCAAATATATGATGTGCTAAAATGGCAGACCAGAATCTATCATCCTCCTTGCCATAATAAGTTTGCATGTTTCAAATGGCAGAGGAAAAATTAATTACTATAATCACAATTCGAGTTATTTTTTGTGACAGGTCTGACATGGTAAAAACATACAATTATGTGTTAATGTTACTTCCCTGGAGTGGTTTGTTTACAGGACTTGACATTGCTGAATCTTTTGTCACGTATATTACTGCATACCCTACGAATGCATCTCTCAAATAAGATTTTGCAGAAGTGTACATATATTACATACGCACAGTGTTTTGGGGGCAAAATTGAGTTTCTGCAGAGGAAAAGCCTGACATTTTTTACATGCTTAATTCCCTGTCAGTGAAGTGATGCCATACAGAATGATACATCATTTAGCTTCAAATTCACAGATGAGATTGACAAGAGAAAAGACAAATTACATTTGTTTTTAAGGAAACAAAGAGAACTATAACCATGGAGCAGAGAGCTGCTGAGATTAGGAGGCGCTTGGTTCACGAGACCTGCCTTCTACCTTACATGCATCAGGTACTTGGGAGAATAAATCTTTGAAATGGCAAATACTTACTTCTAGTTAGTCTTGTTAGACTGAAATACTGCTGTAAAATACGCATACCTCACAGAGCCTTCAGGAAGCTGTTATTAAATAATTTCTTTTAGTTACGTTTGAGCAGACAACCAGTTGAGGAGTTTTTAAAGACTTATTAAGTTTTAAAAGACATT